AAAAGTGGCTGACCACAGTTTGAGAAAGTTGGTTATTCTCTCATCTAAAGATTAGTTTAGCTTAGAGCTCTCAACTGGAAACTGCTGTTTTGTTGTGTCCTTGCAAGGGGCAACTGTCTGGAGGACTTGTGGATGATCTCAAATCCTTGTCCAGAGAGGAATTACAAAGATTGCTCCGGCTCTTCATTCTACTACAGTTTTCAACTCTGCTTTTAGGGGAGCCATCTTCATTTCATCATTTCTTTTCTGGAAATCATTATTGCAATAAATAGCACTCCTATTATTTCTACCATGCCTGTTTCTTGACTTATCTGAAGCATCTACTGTAGAATGGAGTTTCTGTCCTTGCACTACATTTTACTACCATTTTGGTAGTAAAGAGCACCATCAGAAGTGGTGCAGAGACAGGCAGATATTAATAGGAGATGATAATCACTCTTCATGTACTTTTCTTTGATACAGGAAATACATGTAACTTCTTTGATTGCTCTTTCATGTTCCAGGGAAGGGAAGGGAGAACATTTACCCTAACATGCATGAACAGGTGTGGGTTTCTCTTCTCTTTGTTGCTGCTTATTATAAACAACAGCAAAATGTTCTACCTCTCCTGGTGTAGAACAGTTTTACCCTAAGAGAACTGAAGAGAATACCCTATCATATCATCCATTTTACTATAGTAAATTGCTGCCATTTATTATACTATGTTAATTAGACAAGACTATTCTTGAACCAATAATAGACTAATAAAAATACCACTGCCCTCTCCTCCCCCTCCCTCAATGCAAGTATTCTGACTGAACATTCAGTGAAGTAAAGGAGGCGGCTAGATCAGGGATCCCCAACCTTTTCGACGCCGCGGCCCGGTTCCGACATCAGCTGGGTGCCGCGGCCCGGTACCGGCGTCAACTGGGCGCCGCCATCTTTTTATGACGAAACAGCGCTTCCGGTGAGCTTTCTACCCGGAAAAGCTCACCAGAAGCGCTTTTTTACCAAAAAAAAGATGGCGGCGCCCAGCAACCAGCGGCCCGGTAAGGGTTGTTCCGCGGCCCGGTACCGGTCCGCGGACCGGCGGTTGGGGACCCCTGGGCTAGATGATCCATATCATAAAGAAATACAGAGGAAGCCTTGAAAAAAATATCCACAGCCAGTGGTGGGATTCAAACATTTTTTACTAGAGGTTCTGTGGGCATGGATTGGTGGGTGCGGCAGGGGAAGATTACTGCAAAATCCCCATTCCCTCTCCACCTCACTAGCCTGCTTTCCAGCTCCGTTCTCCTGTGCAGGGCAACAAAAGAAGACCCAGCCAGGGAGAAGACAGTCTCTTAAGTACAAGCAAATAAAGAGAGAGAAATGGATTGGATGTTACATGTTGGTTTTACAATACAAAGTTCCCCCAATTCTCCTCCCGTCACATCAACCAAACACACAGGTATAGAATAAGTGGTACTTTCTCAACAGCTGTGAGAGGGATCTTGGGGCCCTAGCCTAGTGGACAACCACTTAAATATGAGCCAGCAGTATGCTGCAGCTGCCAAAAAAGCTAATGCCATCTTGAGCTGCATCAACAGAGGGATACCATCAAGATCACTGCAAAAGTGACTCCATCTCACTTCCTCTTTGAGCCATGGTGGCACAGTGGTTAGAATGCAGTATTGCAGGCTGATTCTGCCCACTGCCAGCAGTTCAATCCTGACTGTAAACTGCTTAGACGGGCTGTAAAGCACTGTGAAGCAGTATATAAATCTAAGTGCTCTTGCTCATGCTATTTTTATTGCATTAGTGAGGCCACAATTGGAATACTGTGTCCAGCTCTGGCCATCAAGATACCAAAAAGATACCGAGGCCCTAGAAAGAGTACAGAGAAGAGCAACTAAGATGATAAGGTATCTGGAGCAGAGGTGGTATTCAGCAGGTTCAGACCAGTTCTGGAGAACCGGTAGTGGAATTTTTGAGTAGTTCAGAGAACCGGCAAATACCATCTCTAACTGGAGATTTTACAGTATCCTCCCCCTGTCACGCCCACCAAGCCACGCCCACAGAACCGGTAGTAAAAATAATTTGAATCCCACCACTGGTCTGGAGGCTAAGGTGTACTACGAATGGCTAAGGGAACTAGGTATATCTAGTCTATCGAAGAGAATGCTAAAGAGGGCAGGGGGGACAGCTGTTTGCCAGCACCTGAGGGGTTTTCATAGAGAAGATGGGATCAACTTAATTCTCCAAAGCACCTGAAGGTAAGACAAGAAGCAATGGTTGGAAGCTCACCAAAGAGAACTCTAACCTGCAACTAAAGGGCAAATTTCTTGACAATGAGAATAATCAATCAATGAAACAGCTTGCCTCCTGGAGTTGTGGATGGAGGTTTTCAAGAAAAGATTGGATATCCACTTGTATGGGATGGTCCTACCTTGGACAGGGTGTTGGACGAGAAGACCTCCAAAATCCCTTCCAACTCTATGATTCTAAGTCCATGATGGCGAACCTATGGCACATGTGCTGAAAGTGGCATGCAGAGCCATTTCTGCCGGCACACGAGAGGTCGCCCAGAAGAGCCCCACTATGCATGTGTGCGCCCCCTGCCAGCCAGCTGATTGTCAGGTATCTGCCGCGCATGTACAGGGAAGAGGTACGGTTGGGAGATGTGCACGCGTGCGCAGAGGCATGCGGTGTGCGGGGGATACGTGCGCATGTGCAGAGGTGTGCAGTGCGGGAGGGTGACACGCGCATGTGCAGGGGATGGGGGAGTTGCACACGCATTGCATCATGGGTGTAGGCATATGAGCGTGCGCGCGCACGTACTTTTGGCACGCAACATGGAAAATGTTAGCCATCACTGTTCTAGGTCTATTTTCTTCTTTTTTTTTTAATAAAAGTTTTTTTTTATTTTTTACACATCTCTTCACATAAGCAACGTGATTCCAGATTACACATTTGTACACAATCATACTTACTTTCTTATTAGTATCACATCACATTATTATCCACTCCACTAATCTTTAAATAAGTTTCCATTTCATATTTCAAATCATTAATTCAATTTCAAATCATTTCATCCTCACACATATTTCCAATTCTTTATCCCCTATTATTTCCATTTTCAGTTTACCACCTATTTTATTTTACATTGTACACTGTTATCTTCATTAACTTTCTTAAGACCAATATATAGTAAAGAATGAAAAAAAAGAGTAAAAGTAAAGTAAAATTAATATATTTGGGATCCACATGGTATATCCCAAATATATTTATTCCAGAGATATTCATATAACCATTTCATATTTTTTCTTTGTTTCCACTTAGCCAAATTTTACCCTTATAGTTTTAATAAATTTTCATTCCCTTACTTTCAATTATAATATGATACTCTCATTATAAATATTTTACATTCTAATATGATCCCTTATAATTCATCATATTTTTTATTTTCTCATATCCTTTATATAATCAATTACATTTTCTATTTCATGTATAAAACAAAGAAAGAAAAGAAAAACAATAGATTAAGTTTCCCTTTTTACTTCCCTTTAACCAGTTTTAACTTATAAAGTTTATATAATTCAGACTTTTTGATCATAATACCATATTTTTGCCTAGTTTATCATAATCTCTGTTTTCCTAATGTCATTTAAATAATCAATTACATATTTTAGGATACACACACACACACACACACACACATACATGCATACATACATACATATATGAAAAAGAAAGGATTAATAATAATAGAACCCTCTTGATGCCTCTCACTCCATCTTCACTTTTCTCATATATAGTTATATAATACTCAGGGTAATTCCCAATAAATTTTAAACTTCAAATCTTCCCAATCTACATTTCTAATAAAAAAAATACCAAAATACATTCCCATGTGGTATTCCCCTTTTATACTATGTCTAACCCTTATCTCTAAATCTCTCGGCCTTACCATTTTTCTTAGTTTTAGCCAGCTTTCCCTTTTCTAAGCTTCCCCGGTCTTTCTTCTTTATCCCTCTTTTTTCCTCTAATATTGTTTTTATTTCCGTCTGCCAGTCACCCATCTTTTCCCCCGCCCTTTCCTGTTCTCTTTTTTGAAGTTTCTTCTTATACGATTTCTTCTTTTGTTTAATAGCACTAGCACTTAGACTTACTGCTTTATAGTGCTTTACAGCCCTCTCAAAGCAGTTTACAGAGTGTCAACCTATTGCCCCCAACAATTTGGGTCCTCATTTTACCCACCTTGGAAGGATGGAAGGCTGAGTCAACCTTGAGTCTGGTGGGATTTGATCTGCCAAATTGCAGTGGGAGTAGCTTGCAGTACTGCACTCTAACCACTGCGCCACCAAGGCTCCAATCCTGGGAATATTTTCTCTTTTATTTATTACCTCTGTCATCAGTGTCATAATTTTGGTTCCTTTAATATCTTTTGGCAATGTCTCTTGTTCTACATGCTCATCTGAGCCAATTTCGTCTTCCTTTAACTCCTCCTCTCTGGATTTCCTTTGTTCCTCTGTGGACTGCATCGCCATTATTTTTTTTGCCAGTGTATCCAATAATCCCCTTCTTTCTTTTAACATTCCTCTCACAATTTGCAATTCCGACTTAAAGTCTTTGCTTTTTTCTTCCATTTTTTAAATCAAATTAAAAATTAAAATCAAATTAAATCATATTAAATTTTTAATTTAATTTGAGTTATTGAAGTTCAAAATTTTTTATTGCAATCCTTGCCAAAAGTCTCAGTTTTTCTCTATTTTCCTTATTAATCCTTCTGTCTCTTGTCACAGTCAATACCCAACAGTCCCAAGATATTGTATTCGTTTATCCTCTTGCTACAGTTCCCCCCCTTTTTTTAGGTTTCCGGGGTTCTTGTTATGTTATAGTCTTTTATCTCATATCTTTTTTTGTTCACACATTTATAAGTAGGTCTATTTTCTTCCATCTGCTGGCAATGGGAGAAAAACTTGATAATCCACTTCCGGGCCTGCGGGGAGGGGTTGTTTCCCCCACTTCAAAAGGAATGTCGTGGAGCCTTAAAGCTCTGGGTCTCTTGCAAATGATGCTTCAGTTCCTCCATTTCAACACACCCACAGATTGTTATCACTTCCTCTATTTTTCTTCTTTCTTTTCTTTCACAACTGTGGAAGTTTAGAGAATCATCAGACAGAATAAGGAGGCTGTTGTCTGAATTAAGCTGCTTTTGGGAGTGTGCATGATAAGATCTTTTTCATAGATTTCTGTGGTATTTCAGCACCAATTTGTTCCTCTGAGCAACAGGACAGGACAAGACAGAAGACCTAGGAAGCCAGAAGTTCTGCTGCCTATAAAAATCCCAGCATGAGGCTCATTTTCAATCTGTTCCTGGGTTGGTATTACTGGTAAATGGAAGATGGGAGCAGTAGAGATGGCGACATAGTGCCAAGGTCAAAGATCCAGTATCAATTTCTGCTGCTCAGATATTTAATATTAATGCAGAGATCTCCAAACTTGGCAACTTTAAGACTTGTGGACTTCAACTCCCAGAATTCTCCAGCCAGCATAGAATTCTGGGAGTTGAAGTCCACAAGTCTTAAAGTTGCCAAGTTTGGAGACCTTTGTACTAATGGAATCATTTTTTCTTCCCCAGGATGGTGGCTGACTCAGTATTATAGATGGATGGCTGAAGGTGAGTCTCATTAGACATGCAACTTGGATGGATGCAGAATGAGAATTACATGTCAGGGTCTCCCCAAACAAATCCATTTTTTTTCTTTTTTAATATATTTTTTTCTTTTATATTTTAATTATACATAGATACTTTGAAAACAGTATGTTGTCTGGGTCCATTTTGTTTAACAGAGAAATAACATGTTCTGATAATAATAATAATAGCAAAAATCTTAATTATAGTAGCAAAAATAATTATGTTAACTTATTTATATTCATAGTTATACTGACTCTTCTTTTACTTAGTAATAAACTTTCTTCTTCTAATTTTTACCTCTTATATCTAACCACTGATAAAACACATCCCATGTTGAGTAATATTCTGTATCTGCTTTATCTTTTATTTTTAATGTGTGTCTATCCATCTCTGCACAGTCTAATATTTTCTGAATTATATTTTCATCTGGTGGGGTATCCTCATTTTTCCAATATTGTGCAAATACGATTCTCACTGCTATCAACACATGAAGTATTAAATATATAGTCCCTTTATTGTAGCTTTTTGGTAGTATACCTAACAAGAATATTTCTGGCATTAGATCTACATACTGCTTCATTATCTTTTCTAACCATGTATGTATTTTTGTCCAGAATTTTTTTGCCTTCACACATGTCCACCACATATAATAATAAGTATCTGGAGTCTGATTACATTTCCAACATTTGGCAGACATATTTTGGACATCTTTGCTTGCCTTGCAAATGCCACCTACAAAACATCTTGTATAGGTTTTCCTTATGTGAGGTGGCCATTGTTATTTCATAGTTCCTATCCCAAAGTTTTTGCCATTTCTCTACTTGTATGGTATAGCCAAAGTTTTTTGCCCATACTATCATTGTTTCTTTCACTTGTTCCACTCTTCCATTTTAATACTTAATAAGTAACTATATAAGGGGGTGCAGTGGCTCAGTGGCTAAGACGCTGAGTTTTTCGATCAAAAAGGTCGGCAGTTCAGCGGTTCGAATCTCTAGTGCCGCATAACGGAGCGAGCGCCCGTTATTTGTCCCAGCTTCTTCCAACCTAGCACTTAGAAAGCATGTAAAAATGCAAGTAAAAAAAATAGGGACCACTTTGGTGAGAATAGCGCTCCGTTCGCCTTCAACATTTAGTTATGCCAGCCACATGACCACGGAGATGTCTTTGGACAGCGCTGGTTCTTCGGCTTTGTAATGGAGATGAGCACTGGCCCCTAGAGCCAGAAATGACTAGCACGTATGTGTGAGGAGAACCTTTACCTTTAAGTAATTATATAGTTCCTTTATTAATTTTTCATCTGTCCCTAATAGTATCCGACTGAGTGCTGATAATTCTTTATAAAAACTCCATGTCTTGGCATCTTTCTCATATCTAGATTGTATTTGCAGGTATGGCCACCATGCTAGATCCACCCCTTCGTTTTGCTATTCCTGCCTGGTTTTAAGTTCTCCTTCCTCATTTAAAATGTCTTTATAAGTTATAATTTTTTCCAAATTAACAATATTTCCATCGTGGAGAGCTGGATTGGTATTTTCCTGTAGTTTTCTTGTAGACATTTATATTCTATTTCTCCCCTCACTTCCTGTCCCTCGTTTGTGTTAAAATGGTGATCATAAAATTCCATTGCTTTGTTTAGCGAATCCAGTCTGTATCTTTTGTCATTCCAATTGACTAGTATTCCCTCAGGTATCAGGCATCTGTAGTTTACATTATATTTACATTATATTTAATCAGCATCGCAGTCAAGAATTATATTGTTTCTGTAGCTTCCTCACTCTCCTAGGAACCTGCTTCAAGGCAGCCAATTCTTTTCCCTTGTATTGTAATGGTTCGTCTTGTGCCTTCTTGAGCATTTCTTCTCTCATCGACTTTTTCAAAAGTCTCATGCGTACCTCTCTTGGAAGTTTGTCTTTTTGCATAACTTGTGTGTATTCTAAAGGTGTCATCTATTTTTGCATCCATCTCCTGCTTATCAATCTTTAGCAAACCCATTTTTCTTATCCCAGCAGGACAGCTAGATATATTTTACAATTTATAGGAAGTCCAGTATTTCTCATCTCTCGTTGTATTATATACAACTCCTCCAGAAAAATGCAGGATTTTCTCTCTTGGTCTTTGATTGTACAATAGCTAAGAAAAAGTGAATAAATAACCTGTTTTCTGATGAGGTCCAATATAGGACTCTCATCTTTTGGGCTTTTGATGGTAGGAAGGGAGAGGATCTGCTCAGGGTGAGCAGTATCAAAAGTGCTGAAGTCCCTCCCTTGAGTAATGCATATTCATATCAATTGATGGGTTCACGTTTCTTGGGTATTGCTTTCTTCAATGAGGCGTCTAATGAAATTGCATGAATGGAGACCAATGATCTGAGCCAAGTACTTCAAAGGGAGAACTAAGGGTGTCCCTGTCATCTCAATTCTACAGGAATTATATGGATGGAGTTTCCAAAATTCATTACTCAAGACTTGTCCTAAAATTTGTTACAACTTCTGAGTTGCTTGTCCTAAGATTTGGTTGACTGCAATTTTTATCAGGAGGCAGATGATTTTAATCCAAACAAGGTGTTAGTGTTAGATCACTGACTTTTCCCCATTGAATATCTAACAATTAGAGGAGAGAGGGGCATGTTCAAACTCTGCCCTGTGCTCTCCAAACCAAGGTGGAAGGTGGGGTGGGAGGAATCCCTCAGCCCGTAGGAACCAGAGGGGATCAAATTATTATTTTTTCAGACAACTACAGTATCTTGCATTAGTGCAACCATTCTCTCTCTCTCTCTCTCTCTCCCTCTCCCTCCCTCCCCCCTCTCTCTGTAGCAATTCATGTGGGTGTGAGTCACTGAACAAGGGAAATGTTGATGCTGTTTCAGAGTTTGCACGATTTCGTATATAGACCTCACACACATTTGTTGCCTAAAAGGTTCTTCCCAAACCCCCAAAACTTTAACCTTAGACTGTCTACTGTTGACCTAACCCCATTCCTAAGAGGTCTTTAAGGGGCATGCATAAGTGCACCGACGTGCCGTACTGTCCCTATTCTAGTGTTCCCTTTTATTCATCCATTTCATGTATTAATAATCATGATTATACTTTGTTATCTGTTATCTAATACTTGTTTGACAAATTAATAAATAAATATAACCTACCAATCTCTTACACAAACAACTTCTTTCCGATTTTCCATGTTACAACCTCTTTCGTCTTCTCCTCTTATCCAGGAAAACCTCTTCCCCAACCTTCCATCTCGGTGAATCCCAGTAACGTGGTTGCTTTGGGAGAGAATATAAGTATCAGTTGCAAGAAGGAGAGGAACCTAGAAGGGACATCCACTTTCTATCTACAGAAAGTAACGCCTGGTGAAAGAACTATTAGGAATACAATGCACAATGAGCTTGAATTTCATATTTTCAATGTCCAGCAATCACATCAGGGGAAATACAGTTGTATATATAATTTAAATTCATTCTGGTCACCCTACAGCAACATAGTTTCTATCATTGTGCGAGGTAAGTCTTTTTCTGTGCTGCTTTTGTCAATGAGACTAACCTAGCTACAAGTTGACCTCAATTTACAACAATTTGTTTAGTGACTGTTTGACGTTACAACAGAACTGAAGAAAATGACTTATGACCGCTTTTCACACTTATGACCACTGCAGTATCTTCATGGTCAAAATTCAGAGCCTTGGCAACTGACTCATATTTATGATGGCTGCAGTGTTCCTGGGATCATGTGATCCCCTTTTGCGATCTTCTGACAAGCAAAGTCAATGGGGAAGCCAGGTTCATTTAACAACCATGGTACTAACTTAACAACTACAGTGGTTCACTTAACAACTATGGAAAGAAAAGTCTTAAAATGGGGCAAAACTCACCTATAAAATGTCTCACTTAGCAACAGAAATTTGGCTTCAATTATGATCAGAAATCAAGGACTATCTGTATTTCCTACACCTATAAATAGAAATCAAAGTTTGCATTCCCCCAAATGCAGAAAGGATGAAAATTTCCATTTTCTCCCCAAGGCTCTTTCCCACCAAGGTCTTGAGAGATCATTCCAAATCAGAGCTTCTTGTTTAGTGAAGCTCAGCAGGTCGAGTGTCTGCTCTTTATCAGCTAATATGCTCCCGTGAGCTGTAACCTATTTATTCCTCCTCATTTTTCCAACCACCTCAATCTCTCCATGGGGGAGGTAGGGAGACTTTGAAATAATGCCTTCTAAATTTCAGGAGCAAGACAGGATAATGTATGAAAGTCATATTTTTCATACTATTAAAAGAAATAGTTCCTATTCTGATTCTTGCCTCCCTCCCCAGGTAGGTTTTGACCTAATCGTAGTTGTTTGTTTCCTCCTGAAATGCAAATATCTAGCCACTTTAAAGATTCGGGCTGTTGTAAATATTGGTTTTAAAATCTCTTTTTTTTCTCTCCTACTCAGATCAACTTTATCCCAGCCCCTCCATTTCAATAATCCCCAATGGCATGATTGTCCTAGGGAAAAAAGCCACCATCCAATGCAAACAGGAATATTTCCCAACTGCACATTTTAACCTCTTCAAAAAAGAGGCTTTAGATGCACCAGCAAACCACGTTTCCAACAAACAAATAGCTGAATTCCCTATTCCCAGTGTCCAAGAATCAGATGGAGGAATCTACTTTTGTGACTATCAAATTCAATGGAACAAATACTCAAACTTCAGTAATAAAATATATATCAATATAACGGGTAAGATATGGATTCCTATTCTTCATAGTTGTTTCACCAAAGAGAGTTCAGCGTTTTTGCATTTTCTGTACTTAGAATACAAATATTAGCATTTGAATTTTCTTTTTCCTTCATCTCTTCATGCATCTGCGATTCAGTTAACTTATTATTCTCTTGAACATCAAGGAATATACAAATGTAATGATCATATTGTGATAGCTCATGCTGTAGAATGAAGGCCCTTGAGTTAATTTGTGATTCCTGACTCTAGCAGTTTTCCTGACAAGATTTTCACAAGGGATTTGCCATGACAGTACTTCTTCTTGGAGCTGAGTGAGTGATTGGCTCAAGATCCTCTATTGCAGTGATCCCCAACCTTTTTTATGCCGCGGCTCGGTATCCCCAACCTTTTTTATGGCGCGGCCCGGTACCGGCATCAGCTGGGCGCCGCCATCTTGTTTTGATGAAAAAGTGCTTCCGGTGAGCTCACCAGAAGCACTTTTTCATCAAA